GCAGCATCTGTGCGATCTTCGTTGGAGGCTGGAAGATCGTTCGAATGTTATGTTTGCCAAGTACTCTACTTATGCGTTCCATTGTGCCTCTCAGGTAGGGGAAGAGGGCCACTTTTGGTCTTTCCTGGTTTTCCTCAGGATTAGTCTCCTCTTCGGGAGATGAGAGCTTGCTCTGTAGCTTCTGCTTGACCTTCCGAATTTGTTGGATGTTATATCCATTCTTGGTCAGAGCTATCTCAAGATGCTCAACTTCACTGTCAACGTTGGAGGGTTGAGAGATTGTAAGTGCTCTATACATTAGGGAGCTAATAACGGAATTCTTCTGGGAGGGGTGGTGATGGGAGGTAGCATTGAGATACCTATCTGTGTGGGTTGGCTTGCGATATACTTGGTGGCCTAGAGTGCCGTCCTCGTTGCGTCGAACCAGGGCGAAGATCAGTACACGGATCAAGGAACACCAGCGGTGCTCCAAATACGGTCACTTAGAACAGTCTGCCCTGGCTGAACACTGGATGGACACTGGACATACTATCCAGTACGACCAAGCCAGAATGTTGACCAAATCTCAAGGGTATTTTGATCAATTAAAAACATGATTGGCTAACCACCCCCCCCTTCCCCCACCAGCACAAGGGAAGGCATATAAGGACTATCCCAAGACATCGGAGCTCAGAATCGGAGCTCATAGCCCTGAAGATGCAGACTGCAATGTTTGCGAAACGTCGGCGCAACGCTGAATCCAAATGCGACATCCATCCGGAAGTCAAAGATGTCAAAAACACCATTGCTTGACCTTGTTCCGCTGACTTTAGGGACGTCCCAGTTCCCCTTGGCTAATTCATAATGAAATGATTTTGGAACAGACTCTGCTAACTTTAGGGATGTCCCTGCTCCCCTCGGCTAATTCTTAATGGAAGGATTTTGGAACAGACTCTGGAAGTTACGCTTGTTTGTGTTATACATATGAGTCATAACAATGTATCTCTCTAATCTGTACATTTTCACATTTTCTGATCATTTGAGTGAGATTTATTTCAAACATAAGAGCGTAATTGGGATTTACGCTTGTGTGATCGAAAATAATTGGAGATCCGTTGGTTTATTAAAAAAAAATGAAAATGATTACGTCGAGGATTTTTCCAATCCCGAGCATAAATACCGTATTTTTTAGGGATAGGTTATTTGACTTCTGGAAATGACCGTTTTTGGTAGTTACGGTCATGTTTCAAAAGAATTTAAAATTTCTTCAGGTTATGATTAAGAATCGCGAATTCATGATAATTCAACGCATAAAGGAGTTATATTCGTCCTTCTCTCAATGAATAGGATATTTTAATTTCTGTGATGAGAAATGAGCGGAATTGAAGGAAACTGTTCTAAAATGATGTACATATCAAAGTGCAAGGAAAATATAAAATGGGATATACGACTTTTTTGCTTTAAGTGAGACATTTGTCCAACTTTATAAAAAGCAAAAGGTCGTATATACTGGCAGATACGACCTTTTGCCGGAGAAGGCCATTTTTGACATATACGACCTTTTGCTTTTGGACACGCGATATACATCCGTTGATACAACGTTTTCGACATATTCCCGTTTTTCTGTTTTTTCACAAAGAAAACTTTGTAATCACTCTAGTTTTCATTTGAAACTATGTTCCACTTTGTAATAAAACGTAGTAATTTAATTCAATGTAAACATGAGAAACCGAAAACTTATAGGCTCGATCTTTTCTCATTGAAGCAACGAATAGTAGTGACCACCGCAAAAAACAATAGATCACAAGAATCTGTTGTTGAGTATATTGCACAGTAAGAGATAAAATAAACAAATATTTTCTGAGTTCATGGATTACTAGAAAACCATATTGTTCAAGAAAACCATTTTTAATATTACTCTAAATTCAGGCATTCCCAATTTTGGAATGAGTGTTGTAATCGTCATGTACTCTTTTATACTAACTGATAACGAGTTTTATATGAATTATTCTTTTCAACTTAAAATATCAATTCATTTTCCAATTATTATTTTCTCTCCTCGTTCATTTGTTTTTTATTGTTTTTTCTTTGATTCTGCATGATAGAAAAGCGTGAAAGGCTTTTTTCCCACCGACATAATGAAACAGATGGAGAAAAGATCTGTCAGCCGAGTGAACCCATTGCAACTAACTGATTGATTGCATCTCATGGTGCAATTCTAGTGGCCAAAACTTGGACGGAAAAATAATCTCCCGAATATTACAAAATTAACCGGCAGTTCCCTCATGGTTCTCTTCATAAAAATGAAAATCGTCAAGTTTTGTTTTAGGAAAAATCACACACGCTGCATGGTCATGATTTTTTAATGCAAGAAATTTGACTCTTACATTCGTTCACAATAAACCTATCGAGAAAACCCCCAATAATTACGAAGCTCGTGGTGTAGTATATGTGATAAAGTTTTAAATTTTCCAAAGTATATTTTGCGATGGAAACGCATTGCTTTTTCCTAAAAATACGAACGACTGCCCACGTTACACTGTTTCTCAAATTCCCTCGAATTTTTTCTCTTTGAAATTTGAAGAGTTGGTTTTTCTTTGTCTTTGATGATTGAATGATAGCTGTTCGAATTGAAGTGACGGGTCGAAGAGTTCATTTTGTATTATGTAGGTATGTATACCGAGGAATGCCAATGAATCCCCTGACTGTTCACAAACAAATTTCAGAGATTCTAGAATAGAGAAATATTTCAAATTCTAATACTTGTAATATGTAAACGGATAGACATTTTTAAACTTTCACAAAAATAATAAAAATTAACCATGTTCTTACTTGTGAATTGTATTATCATGAACTCATACTGAAATAAAGGTTGATTATACGAGAATGTATTTTAGAATTTAGTGGTGAAGTGGTAAAAGCAAATAAACGAACCTCATTTGATGATCACTCCTCAACGAATATCTCGAAATCCGAGCAAGATAGTGAAACATTCATGGATATCTTTTTTTAGCTCATATATTCCGCTTCACGAAACAGGTTTCAACAAATATACATCTCCCGATTCAAAGATATCCGTCAATAGTGCAGCCTCGAGACACGTTGATTCGTCTCATTTAACCACTTCACTCTTCAAGTGTTAAATAACTAAGTGTTAAGTGTTATTTAAATTGAGAAATTGGGAAATGAAGACGATTGCCTGAAGTATTCACCAACAAATGGAATCATTTCAGTTAAACAATTTTCCCCATGCAGTTCGATAAAATGATGGATTGCCTTAGATTCCTTCCTCAAATAATACCGTTTAATGGAAAAATCCTCGATTATAATTTACATCACAGCCGATCAGTAAATGTAAATGTAATAAAACGTGAATTAACAGGAAACCAGGATTTTGTACGGTTTCTTGACCTTGAAAGAATGCAAACTAATTTCATGAGAAACTAATTCCAAAAAGTTGGCAGTTTCTAGAACCAAGTTACTGATTTAAAACAACTCATTTGTTAAAAAAATGTCGTTCGAACGATATGTTCGCCTTAATCCCAGTTTGGTTCTCTAGTTTTTGACTTTTTTATTCAAATCACTCTACCAGGCTTAATAAGTGGAAATTCATCGAAAAAAATTTTTAAAATTTTTTAGTACTCTTAAACATATAGTTGATTTTTTTCAGAATTTTCTACTCAGGCGTCTAATTAATATTACAAAATGAAAATGAGCTTTACGGTAATTACCTCACATGGTGAGGAATTTAGAGTGAAATAGACGAGTATAGGGCCGTTTATTTTAACTCTCTAATTAAATGCCGAAGAGCCACGAATCACCAGGAGAGATACGGAGGAAGGGACTGTAGGCTCTTACGGAAAAACGGCGAAGTGGGGAAAATCTTATCAGCCGTAAGGGTTCATTAAACATTAATTCAACATTAATTGAGTCAATATGTTACGTCACGCCCAAAAAAAATCACTATGAATTGTTTCACGAAATTTTTTAGTTCAGTGTAAGATATTTTGCTCTTGAAAATTTTCGAGCCATCAGGTTCTTGGGATAAGTAAAAATGTACTTCTCAGAATTTTTTTTTTCTTAGTGTGAGAACTCGATAAAAATTCTGTTGGAGTTCTGTTCAAATTATATAAAAATCGGGTTGCACCAGCTGTAGTTGGCTAAATCGGCAAATTTATCCTAGGGTTTTAATAGTTATCAGGGAATTGAAGATCATGCACTTCTATTGTGTCATTTATTGATTGATATTTGAGAGGAATCTCTTGAAAAACGCACGACATGGTCACATAATTTTCAATGCAAATGGCGAAAAAAACAAACAGAATTTCTTAATAAAATTTTAATAGAACTCCGAAAAAAATTTTCCATACGCAGGGACATGTATAGAATAACGCAAGATTTATAAAGATGGGTTATTAATCTTAGAACAGAAAACATCAACTCAAGAATTTAAATGAAAATTAAGGCACATCCTCTCTTAAATGTGCCTTAATTTTTTTCTTTTCCTCTTAATTTTCTCATTTTCTTGAGTACAATTACACCTAATTTGAGTGCAAATTACTGAGACTTGAAACTCTTTTCTCAGAGGAAAACAAATTCTTAAAATAAGTAAAAATTTCACTTTATCTGAGTTCTGAAAATCAGAGATTTTGACTGGAAACTAGAAACTCACTTTTCGCTCTGAGAATTTCCTAGGTTCTACAAGGATCTCACATGAGCAAAGAAAAAATAACCACTTATCCATTATCCACGTCGATATGAAGGCATTTAAACATTAAATACCCCAAAACGTCTATTTCCCATTTAAAATCCACTGAAACTTTTCCGCCAAGAACATTGTGGTTAGAGTGAATGTAAACTTCGACTGCAGTGAATCCAAGCCTCCATAATGACGTTTCAGGACACATGAGGTTTCGACAAAGGAGCAAAAAGGAGGCAAATAGTTACTACACGTCCAGAAAATCACAAGCCCATGTTCTCCTCACTTTCCCAATAAATTACGAATATAAACATAAATTAACCTTGACTCGTTGACAAGTTGCGTGCACCTCTTTTCTCGCAATATTATCACGATACGCACATTTATGCCAGTCAGAATGTAAATGACATTAGATTTTAAGAATTTGGATGCATCACCTCACTTTGCTGCAATAACGGAAAGTACGGAAGTCCCTCCCGTCTATCCTCGCCCTGGTGTGGAGCTCCAGTGCTTTAGTAGCGCCAAGGAAAACAGATGATTGCGTTTAATTCCTCTAGATGTCGCTGATCCCGACAGAAACGATCGCTTCATTACCGATCTCAATATTCTTCTGCAAACACTGAATTTAACCTAAAAAATCGCCGAAAGTGGTTGACAAATTCGTGATTTTTTCATTAATTCATATGATAAAGAATATAATATTAATTTATTAATTAAATGACTGGCTATCCAATGGTGTCCCATCACTATGAACATTCATGAGTGCATAAGAAGTGTAGATAATTAATAAGAAACGTTGAATTTTGTGTGGAACGATTAAACCCAAATAAACAATTTTCTAGTTGTCAAAATCCTAAACATCAATTAGAAGTAAAGGATTGAGTAAATAAATAAAAAATGTCGTCTGACGTTCGTGATATTCTTGACATCGAGAGTCCAGCAGCCACAGAATTGACTCGTGAATCAATATTTGGGAATGATAAGAAGACAAAACGTAGATATGATAATCAAAACAAAGGTCCGAAACGTCCAGAGGGTATGCACAGGGAAGTGTTTGCTCTGTTATGCAAAGATAATACTGATGTACCTCCACTGTTTCCCACTGACACCGGAAAGGGTTACAAGCAGGTGAGGGCAAAGCTGGGGATGAAGAAGGTGAGGAACTGGAAGTGGACACCTTTCACTAATCCAGCGAGGGCTGATGGGGCTGTTTTCCATCATTGGAGGCGGGTGGCTGATGCCGGCAAGGAGTATCCCTTTGCTAAATTCAATAAGAAAGTTCCTATTCCCAATTATTCGAATGCTGAATACGTTCAGCATTTAGTGAGCAACGGGTGGACGAGGGCTGAGACTGATCATCTGTTTGACCTGTGTAAAAGGTTCGATTTGAGATTTATCATCATTCAGGATCGGTGGGATACTTCCAAGTTCAATCCTAGGACTGTCGAGGACTTGAAGGAGAGGTGAATATGATAAATGAGAGAATTTATTGGTTAATCTGTTGTTTTGTTGTCATACACTAAGAGAAAAACAACCACGTTCTCAAACAAGTTTTGTTTGGGCCAATAAAATAGAGGCAGATAATTCATACGAGATGGTGCCTTTTCAGGATGAAAATATCTCATATAGAGGAAAATTTGTCACGAAACATTTTGTACCTAAGTTAGAAAATTGCTATCATATTATTATTGTTTTATTTAAGGGTTTCTTGTCTGTGATTATTAGAAGACCGAAACTTAAAACTATTATCCCTTGTTTCACATAAAACAAACATTTTTCGGGAGTAAAATACGTATGGGCGTATCGAATAACGAAGGAGTAGTGCTGGAAGTGACATTTCTTGTGTGTACAGGGAATGTGATTTCTGCATGTTTGGCACAAAAAAATTCTTTTTTGGTAATTTTCAAAAAAATATTTTTTGGCACAAGCAAAACTTGTTTGAGAACTCTGTCGTTTTTCTCTTAGTGTATGAATCAATGCATGATGTAGGGTAGGTGGGAAACAGTGAAAATTTTGTCATTGCCAGTGAATTAAGATTTACTTTGCTTTACTCTCTTCTGTGCGAAAATTTAATCGAAAAAAGTACATAGAGGAAAAATATCTCCAGTTTCCAGTGCAAATCTCTGAGTTTCAGAACTCTGCAAATCTAGCAAGAAAATAATCTTACAAATGAAAATAAAAATGAGATGAAAAAGTTTTAATTTTCAGTCATTGCTACTTAAATTTAGTACTCAAATTGAAGCAAATTTTTTGTTAATTTGAGGAATACTTATGTCTGGAATTCAGAACTTTTAGATTGTTAAAGAACCTTGGTATACTTGAATCAAGAACATCTGGATCCTCAAATTCATAACATTTTCGTTCTCGAATTAATAATTTTTCCTGTTTGAAAATTAATCTACTCATGGTTTATAAATCACGTAAAAGTTATTACTTTAAGAGGCCAATGGTATTTGATTTAAAAACCCAACGGTTCTTGATTTAAGGATAATCGGGCGAGCCCGGAGGGTTAGAAAAAAAGCAGCCATTTTTCTCTTTTATTTTTTACGTATTCTTTAAATGATGGAAAAGGCGTGTGCAAAGTTTCAGACTGGTGAGGAACATGGTTAATTTATTATGAATTTTTGAAAAAGTAGTCATTTAACCCGTGATCTTATGGAAATCACAAAAAAACTGCAAAACCCAAGGAAAAAAAGCAGCCAAAGTTATGAAACTTTAGACACATTTAGAACATGTGATCAATGATTTTTTGAGTGAAAAAGATTGTCGCCTAGGAGCATTGTTTATTAATAATAGCAAAAAAAGTACTGAAAAATGAAATTTCTGCGCACGCAGCCCAAACGAGCAGCAACGTCTCAAGTACCGATCGGGTGGGGGTACCGCGGTCAATTTAAACGTCTCTTGAGAGAGAGCGATGAAGCGTTGTGATTGGAGCTCCCTCGAACCAGTGGTACCAGCTCCTGTTGAAAAGAAAAAACACTATCGACGATGTTGCCACTTTTTCGCATGGATTAATATTTTTTCATTTATTAAAAAAAAACAATCTGAAAATCATTCAATGCGTGGAACAGATAAAAATAAATTTGATTAGCTCCAAAAATAATTTTTAACCGGAGATACTCCCTAATATTGCCTGAATTTTGAATCCGAATGGAAAAAATGTTTTTGTTCAGCGATTGGTTTTCTGCAGGAAAACAATAGAAACCTCTCCGCCTCACCTCCTACATTTCCTCCTCGCTCGATTATCCTTAAGAAATTTTCTCACATGAAATGGATGGGTTTTGGGGACTTAATTTTAGGGATTTTTCTTCTGAAATTATGTAACCAGTTTCTTATTCTGTGTAAGTACATTGTCTTCTAGAACCATAACTTTTTTGAACTGAGTAACTTTGTTCTGAACAACTAGAAGATTTTTTTTCTGTGGAGTTCTTTCACTAAGAAATTCCATTGTATTTCTATTGAAATTCTGTTCGTTCCCTGCCGATTTTCGTTGAAAATTTTTCGCATCAAAATTTCAGCCAATAGAATTGCACTATTCGACTGTTATTTTATATAGTCAAGACGGTACTCAACTGATAATTTTTGATAATTCTATTGGTAATTTTTCATGTTGATATATATGAAAAACAAAAGATTTCCTGGTCGAGTAAGCCCATTGTTAGAACCGAAAGATGGATTTTGTTTCATAGTGGAATTTTCTTGGCCGAAATTGGGGTGGAAAAATTCGCTTCCGAATACCCTCGAGCTTCAAAACTAATCAGGTCTTTTCCTCAAGGTACCCCACATACAATAGATCTCGTCAAGTTTTTCAGAAACTCCTTCGTTTGTTTGCAAAGAACATTTTTTGTAGTACTTGATAATTTTGAAACTCTCATGGTTTTACATACAAAAATTTCGTGCCTTCTTCCAGCAATCTTTCGATAGATATTTGATAGAAAAACGTCAACAGATTTCGATTGTTCTGTACAACTCAGTCTCCGCATTATGTTATACAAATTCTTGGACATTAAACTTCCAAGTGTTTCTGCTGTATTTCGGTTTCTTTATCATCAGAAATTCCATGCGCAAGAATTCTTTTAGAAACAATCATAATTAAATAACTTGTATTGAAGAAACAACAACGATAAACTTTTTGGAATCACATATCTATTAATGAACGAGAAAATTGTATAATTTTCGATAAAAATCTGCAAAAAAAAGAATTTTTAGAATTCTATTAGATTTTCAATAGAGTTCCAATGTTGTGGGGATGTTTTGACCGAATTTTTAATTATTTCGTTGTTATCAGCCTCTGCGGGGTCCTCTTCAGGGGCATTATTTATCAATTTCTACAAACAAATAAAAAAATCAGCGAATGACCGCGGAGGCCAATAATAACGAAATAATAGACTTCCAATCGAATATTGATAAAATTCTGAGGAAAAGAGAATAGAATTTTCGTGGAATTCTTTCATCCAAGTTTATTTGAGTTGGTGATTCTTGGATTTTTACATTTTTGCTCACTTGATTTTGGTTCTTGTAATTGGACTAATTCTGTTACTTTCCAGGTGAAATCTACAATTGGCTTATATATTTTTGTGATCTTCTCCTTTTATTTGAAGATTGAAGTGACAAAATAATGGTTATGGATTCAATAGAGAGACGATAAAATAGGATAACTTGACCGAATTTCAGGGTGGAATAGACTCTGGATCAATATAATATATTGATTCACATATTATGTAAATTTGAGGGATAATATTTTTTTGATTTTTGGGAGTATGTCAACCAACCTCGTATCGACATTTTCTGATGTACCCAGTAATTTCAAAGCCATTTGTCAGGGTCGTTGCATGAAATATTTGATAAGATCAAAAAGAATTTGGGGATACTTTTGTCGATAACTTCTGAAGAAACGGGTTCAGAGGAAACCGTCAAAGAACATTTCCATAGTTGATTTTATGACTTACAGGAAAAATGATGTGTAGTTTTACCACATCGCTACAGAACCCATTTATTTTATTTGTTGCACTCTTCTTCGTACCGGGGTAGAAAGAGATGTTTTTTTGCCAGGGAGGTAGATCTAAATTAGGAAACCTATAAAAGAATTCATTGGACCGAATTAGTTCGGATGTCATTTATTCACCAATATTTTTTAGTTTTCATCTTTTATCCAATTGATTTTTATTGGCGCACTCTCTAGTTCGGATGCAAATGTAAACAATCCATTATCTTTTGATTCTTACCTCTTGTCGAATTTCCTTATTATTTGAGTAATTCTGATCTTACGTACAACTATCATCTATTCTCCATTCTTTTACATCTTTCTATATCTTGTTTTTATTGAATCAATCAAAGCAATGAAGTACACTGTTGGAAAAAAACTGAAATTTTCAAGACAGTGACACTGAATGCAATTTAGGGGAAAAAAATCATGAAATTTCAGGTTTCCCTGAAAATTCAATAAAATTCCAGAATTTTAAGCAGCATAAAGACGAAAATTCCTTAATTTATTTGAATTTCCAATCTAATATGAATATTCAGTGCCAAATTACATTGAACTTTCGGTGAAATCTGAAATTTCATGATTTTTCCCCCTAAATCGCATTCAGTCTCACTGTCCTGAAAATTCAAGAATATATTTACCGGAATTTTCTGGTTTTTTATTCATTTTCAGGGAAAAATGGAACTGAAATTGACAATTCTCTTTGATTTTTCCACGAAACTCTGATTCTTCAATGACGAAATTCCTTGAAATTTCAGCGGTAATTAAATTCGATAGAAATTTCTAAAAAGTGTACTGGAAATTTCAGATAATATTTTTTAACAGTGTATTAAAAGGTCTTATTCCAAAACTAATCTGCAGATGATTTTTCAAATATTTCCGAAAGTACGAATTTTAACGTAATTCTTCATAAGCCCTGCATGATGAAAAATTTCATGGAGCATAAAAAGTTTTCACATTTCATTAGTGAAGTGGTGAATGAGATGAGTCAATCTCCCTTCAGGGTCAGGTTGTTATAAATATCTTTGAATCGCGGAGCAATTGCAGAATTTTTATGGAAACCTTTTCAGAGAAATGCAAGCTATGGAAAAATCACTACAGAAAATTTGTTACTTCTTTCCAAACTAGACTTGAAGTTGAAACTTTTGGAAACTATTAACTTCCCGATGCGAAGGAAGTTATTCTAATGACCTCGAAAATCGAAGGTGGAAGTTTCATGATTTATCGACGTTTCGTTAATCTCTTCCGAGTTTTTTGGAGACCGGTCTCTGTGGAGATGTATGTAAACAAAATTTTACCCTACGATTTTTCTCGAACAAACGGTGCGATTCTTTTTTTCTTAACCCTTAGGTGGTCACAGCCCTTCACTGAACGTAGTTGCTCGCGTGGCAAGAGCACTTCCGCCCTGTGTGATTTACGATTTTATGAAAAAAAAGTTGGAAAAAAATTCATTCCTCGTTTATAGGTTATTTTGAATCT